CAGTGCTGGGAGGTTGGTGCTGTAGCACCATAACTTCTACTTTAGATGCTTGTTGGCTGACCAGGACAACATTGTGGCATTAGGAGGTTGGCATAGTGACACCATAGCTTTTGCTTTGGATGCTTGCTGGCTAATCGAGATGGTGTTGTGGCGTTGAGAGCATGGCGCCGTAGTGTCGTGCTTGCTGTTTCATGCCTTATGCCTTCCAACTTCCATGCTCTCCCTTGGTACAATTTAGTCACTTCCCATTTGATTTTGGCCATGATCTGATTAGAGCTAGTTGAAGTAATCAACATAAAAGTTGTAAACCTTTCACTTAGCTATCTAGTGGTCCAAAAATCATAATGATCGAGCATTGTAACTCAAGTTATGCTCAGAAAACCATAACATGTTCAACATACAATAGCGCCAATCCTTCCTTGCATAATTCATTGCACCTTCAGCCATCTTTTTCATTTATAGATATGCAAAACAAGGAGCAAAATCAATAGAAACTCAACGTAACATTTTAACACATAATCGAACTAGAATAACTAACCTTAGATCAACTCAACATGCTTTTATTTAATAAAAGAAAAAGCAACTAAGTCAACTTAAACTACACCTTAAACTCAAGAACTTTGGCATTTTAGCACTTGAAATATGACAAGATAATTCTATGTAATGGAGTTATCACATTCCTAAATAAAATGCTAACTATGAAAATAGAAGGAAAATTATTTTTCCTAAGTGTAAAATAATAAATTAATATAAAACTATATTCTTAAGGCAAATATAAGCAATAAATTATAATGCAAAAAATAAAAAAATACTTAAAGAATTTATAGTAGTTCAACTTTTTCAATGCTTACGTCCACTCCTTTGGTAACTAAGGAATTTCAACCAATTATCAAGAATTTTTGCTTTTTAACGAGACAAAGTAATAACCCTCACACAATCCACAAAGCGATTCTTGCTTTTTAATGAGATCAAGTGATAACCTTTACAATGACTTTTTCATGAGATCAAGCGATAACTCTTACATAATACATAAAGGGTTTCTTGCTTTTTAATAAGATCAAGTGATAACCCACCAACAATGATTTTTAAGGCTCAACCATAAATCTTCACAAATAGCTTTTCAAGGTTAAGCTAGAACCTTTACAATAGGGTACAAATTTCTACAAGAAAAGGCCTCTACAAAGGTTTGATGCTAGAGATTTTAGCTTGGGTTTAGTAAAAGAAGAAATATTAGCTCAAATGAAGCAACTATTCAACTTTGTAAGCTTGGTAAAAGACTAAAATGAAGCTAAAGAGTGAGGATAAGCTTTGGAGGTCTCTCTAGGGTTTGAAGCTTTGGTTCAAGTCTTCTATTTCTTCTAAATAGCTCAAACGCATCTATTTATAGCTAAGGTGAAGTTTGATGGCGTTAAACACAAGTTTGAATCAAATCTGACCATTGTTGAGGCTTGAAGGTCAACTACAATGCTCTTATGGTCAACTATGTTCTTCAAATTTCTCAAATTAGGGCTCCATAGTCGAGTATAATCTTCTTTTACTCTATTTTTTTCTCGAAAGCATGTATTTTGCAAATATGAGCTGCTATAGTCGACCATGTCTCCTCTATGGTCTATGTAAAGTTAACTCTTTGATACTTTTGACTTGTTAGGGTCGACTATACTTGGGCCAAGGTTGACTATGTCTATTCAAAACTTCATTTTCTTGAGCTTTTTGGAATATGGTCGACTATTGACACTTCAAGGTCAACTATGGCTTTATATTCTTCAAGTTTTACATTCTTTCTACCTTTGGATCAACTTGAACCTCTCTAAAATTGACTCTTGACTTATGTCCTAAGGTTTCCTTAGCTTTTGGCCCTTCTCTTTAGCTATTTCTTCCTTACCTTGTTCCTACATTCAAATAACAGGATGTAACTCAAGGCTAACACTTTCTTCTAGCCACTTTCATCAAACACTCAATCTTCTAAAAACTTAACTTCCTTCAATGACAAATAACATAAGGTTTCCATTATAAATACTTGGTTTTCTAATAAAATCCTACATTGATAATCATCTATCCTTTCATCAATATTTTTCAGCAAATCTTCCATCCAAAATTAGTAAATAATCTAACTCTAACTAAAGGATTTAAACTACCGCTAGCCAGAGTGAAAGGTAACTTTACTTTGGTGAGCTTAAGAGTTCCAAAACCAAACCAAATCCTAAGTTTTAGATGAACAAAAACAAATTCACCAAATTCATAAGTTCAGCAAACCAAAACCATGAGTTTAGAGATTCAAAAAGATGAAACTTTACCTTCCACAATCTCAAAAAATCAAAATATGAACTTGAGAATGACTTTTAAATGCTTCAAATCCATAATTTTGATGAAGATGAGAGTTAAGAGAAAAGAGAGTCGAAGGTGGCTGGGTTTTACTGAAAAAGATGTTTTTTCCAAATAAGGAAAAGTCTAAGGTTTTAAAGCTCTTAAATGTGTAAAAAGTCCAAAATAATCTTTTTTTTTTCAAGTTTGCACCTAAATTATTGATAGTTTTGGCTTGACTTGCCATCTACTTGGCTTAAAATTATTTGTTTTGATATTTTTTTTTCTTTTCACTTTTAATGATACTTGATAAACTTCAACAAATGTTTTGTCATACAATAAGCTCATGACCAATGATCTTTCATGCCACATCGATGACAAGATATTTTTTATAATTTTTTATTCAGTCTATTTTTGTATTTTTATTCTATCTCTTCACTATTCATCTCTACTTTTGGTGCGTTAAAGTATCTATCTACTTCTAGTGGATTAAAAGTATTCATCAACTTGTTAGAAAACAGCTGTAAAATAAAGTCAATTTCATATGTTCAATTCAAAATATCTTATACAAATTTTCATACTATCAAAAACAGATTTATATATACTTAGTATAATCATATTTGAAATTCAAAATAAAATAAATTATATATTGAGTAAATCATATTTTAAAAATCAGAACAAAGAGATTATATATAATTATAGAATTGCATGCTCAACTTGATTTAATTAATATAGGAACAAAATATGACGCATACTACATGATAGCAAATTTACATTAAAGTTAATTTTTAGGAAATGAAACACTAAAAGGAAATCAAGTCACTTATATGATTCGCTAAAACAAAAAATCCAAGACCAACCATTGATATCCTTTTGAAGCTTGAAGAATGAGATAAGATGAAAGAATCGTACTGATAACTTGTTATAAAATATAACTGAAGAGAATAATTATAAGAGAAAGTATTAAGAAAGTAAGAATATCTTATTTGCGGTGTATATTTACAATTGAAGTGAGAAGCCTATTTATAGGCTAATAATCCATATATAAACAGAATTTACAAGATAAAGATAATGTTAAAAGATTTAATTTGGATGAAAAATATTCAAATTAAATCATAATTTTAATTCAATTTAATCTACATCTAAATATAAATATACATAATCAAATCCAAGAGTTTGAATTAGATTATACTCTTGTGTCTAGCTTGCTTGGCTGTTTGACCTATCTGGATTCTCTGGCCTAGTTTGAACTCTTGAATCATAACACAATGGATATTCACAGATATATTCATAATACTAAAATACTTTTCAAAGTAAATTTAATGCATGGCTATCACATTAATTCCAATTTGTCCAAACTTCCTGAGGTTCAAGCATGGTTTTAAGCTTTTAAAATTATTTTGGTAAACTCCAAAACTAAGGATGTAAATGGGCAAGGTACTTACTTTTTTTGAGGTATTTGATCTTGAATCCATTTAATTAATAAAGTACCCAAACCCTATTAAAACGCAAATAAAATCGCCAAACACTATCCAAAATTGAACCCTAATAATATAGCACTGTCTGCTAATTACCTGAATCCATTAAATGCCAGATTAAATAACTCAAAAAATAACTTAAATAATTAAAAATCATATTAAAAATTTAATTTTATATTTATTAATTTGTAAAAAAGAAAGTTGGTTAAGATGACAAATGTTATCTCGAATATAAAGAGGTTAGAGGTTCGAATCTCACAAATTATAAATTTTTGAAACATTATATATATATATATATAATTGGATTTGAATTTAAGATATCCTAAGAGTGATACTCGAACTTGAGTCATGTATAAAAAGCCTTACTCAAATCCATCCCATAATTGAATATAGGGTACTCAAACCCTGTATTATCAAGTTGGGTACCTATAGATATTCGTTTCGTATAGTAAAAACCCATTTTCATCCCTATCATAAACAATTCGTATCCCTTAGTTGTCAGGATAAAAATTTGGTACTTAAAGAGAGAAATAGTAGGGGAGAAGGAAAACGGGTTGATTTGCACCTTTCCCTTCCCTCCAAGTTTCCAAATTTAATCCTTCCTAAGGTGAGGAAAATATTATTTTTACTTAATTAATCATTTGTTTATAATTTTACCCTTAATATCAATAGGATATGAGATGGGAAAAGATAAGATGGCATTTTGCGTAAAGTCCAAAGCCAAAAATCTATTCCGTTGTTAAACTCGCCGTTATAGTATGTAGTATTTATATTAAGAAAATGGTGAATTTTGGAACTTTTAATCCATAATTAAAAGACGGTATTATTACCATCAACACGAAGAACAGTTTTTAAACTTTTCTGGTATATATACTTATAGTCACTCACAACAATACACCGGTAATTAGAGTTTATTGGGAGGATGATTGGTGATAATACAATGAGCAAAACGACAGGGGTAAGTCTAGATCCTCCTATATAAACATATGTAAATAAGCAGACTGCAGTAAGAAAGGTAACGGATGAGAGCCAAACCCCAAGAATAGGGCAGAATCCGGCGAATATTGAGGGACGTTACCAAATATCTGCGGTGGAGGGTACAACGGTTTTTGGGAATTTTTTGTATATTGTGTAATATTTGGTGGAGCATATAATGAATTCGTATCTATATTTATGCTTTAGCTGTTTGTCGTTCGTAGAATCATAACCCATCTCCTTAAACAAGGAATCTCTTTTCTGTTCTGTTCTGTTGCACAGGAAGATTTTCTTCAGTCAAGGAATAAGCTCTTTCTTTTTCCTTTTTCATTTCTGCAAAGCCCTCCTCTTCTAATCACATTATGCACTTAATATGCATGCTTCAAATGCATGAAATCACCTCATTCTCCCTAAGTTTCGTAGGAAATAGTTATGAAATGCATGCATTGATTAGTAATAAACAATTCTTTCTTGTCAATTCACTGCCATATTGTACTAACTTTGCATGAAGTTTATGCAGGAATTTTAAGGTTCACGTGAATTTCTGCACCCTGGTTTCTTATCCATTTACATTTCCTGCTTTCTTTCAAGTACAACGTAATTTGCTATGAATCATAGGAAGATGATGAAACACCAAGCTTGTCATATCACTCGAACAAAGAGCTTTCTTGGGCTATGGCAATGGCGGGCTCAGCATCACGCTAAACTTCCGGTTGTTCCTGGGAAGAGCCATACAATTTTGGGAAGCAACTATGAGGAGATGTCAAGGGAATCATTGCTGACGGGAGAATTATCCGATGGCAGTAACCGGGGCTCAGTGGATCCAACACAAGTTCCAAAAGGGTTCATTGCAGTCTACGTAGGGCCAGAGCTCCGTAGGTTTGTGATTCCAATGAGCTACTTATCGATGCCGGAATTTAAAACTTTGATGGATAAAGTTGCAGAGGAATTTGGATTTGAACAAGAAGGAGGACTACGAATTCCATGTGACGAGGAAGATTTTGAGCAGATATTGCTTAGATGTATGGCACTCCAGCAAATGTCTAAGAACAAGAACAAGAACAATAAGAAGATTATTTTTACGTAGAATTGGAGATTATATTCTAGACATTTCTTAAAGTTCTAATAAGATTTAATTTTTTGTGAATATAACTTCATTACGTAGTTTATCTAATTGGTCAATGAGATCTTGTTTTAGATAAAGAGGAGATTTTAGAACTTTTAAGTATCATGTTGAAATCTCATATCGGAATCAGTCTAATTTTATATTCAATTTTGTCAACAGTTAAGTGGTTTGGTATATCTACTTGTACTTCTAATAGTATTTTCCACTGCATGTGCAATTGAAGACAATGCATTTTACAGGAATCGAATTTTTTTGCAATTATCTCGGCAAATTATGATTTCAAGTTAACCAAACAGGACAACGTTGAGAGCAATACCAAATTAGGGTTTTGTAATCAATGTCAAAATAGAATTTGGAAGAGTATAAGACCCTTTTGGCAATATGTTGGAAACTATGCGCGATCAAAAACCTATATTTGGCCGCAAATGCAACTTTAAATTGGTCAAAATATAGCAGCCGAAAGCCCTAATTTAGTACCAAAAGCAACCATGAAATTAATTTGATGAAGCTCCACGACTTATGTATTCCAATCTTAGTTATTTTCTTTTATATATATATATATATATATGCATTTCTTCTATTAATGTCCATGTTATACTATATTGTAGTTTATCTTCCAACAACACTTTTATATATCATATGTTACCAAACTCTCTTTTTTTCTTTGGTAGATAATATGAGAAAGTCTAAGGAGGAAGTGATCTTAGAAGTGTCAATGGACCAACTTCAGACCCATTGATACTTTTAAAAATTAAGTTCAGTCTTGTCCAATTAAATTAATTTTTTATTAAAATATCAACTTGGTTATCATCTTCAACTTTGTTTCAATTTTTTTTTTTCAATGATATTTGATAAAATTCAACAAGATGTTTCGGTATATGACAAGTATGTGATCAATGGCCTTGCATGTTACATCGATAATAAACATTTTCTATATTCGTTTTATTTTGTCCATCTTTGTTCTTTTTTTTTTGTATCTCTTTACTATTCATCCATTTCTTGTGGATGTTCTTATTATCAAAATAATAATTTATGTAACCATTACGTTGCAATAATTATGATGACGTCTTCCACGTACACGACTATGATCATGATTACGACCACAACCATAATTTTTAAATGATATCGCATTTACTTAAGAGAATGGAGTAGAACTAATTGGGTGGGATTCATGATTTTTCATCAATAGTTCGTTATTTTCCTCAGCTACAAGAAGACATAAATCAGTTCAGAGTATTTTTTAAAGCCTTCTTCACAGTATTGCTGCTGCAAGAGCACATTTGAGGTAGGAAAAGTAGAGAATTTTTTTCTAACATATTGGCATCAGTCACATTTTCTCTACACAATTTTTGTATAACTCATTCTATATAACGTTGAGTTATACTCACTTACAGTTTGAAAATCTTGCAATCGCAAATGCATCCAATCATAATGAACTTTTGACAGAATTATTATTTTTTTGGTGGTCATTATCTTTCTTTTAGACTTTTTCAAAGATTTACTAGATCTTTTATTGTGAGATACTCAATTTTTAATCCTTCATGAAGATGGTGGTAAAGGAAAATCATTGCCTTTGTCTTATCCTGACTAAATGCTTTATTTTCTTCTTTGATTGAGTTTCCAAGACTTATAGCACCTAAAATCCAAAATAGATAGTTCTTGCCAATAATATCAAAGGCCACAAATTCAAGTTTTGTAAAATGATGTCAAACCATGAGAGATAAGAGATTAGAGAATCATCCTGATAACGTGTTATGAAATATAACTTAAAAGAACAAATAAAAATAACTTGAAAAAACAATTAATGAAAAAGAATAATTATAAAAGGAAGTATTTAGAGGGAGAAAGAAGATCTTATTGAAGTGATTTTTACAAATGAAGTGAGGGGTCTATTTATAGTCTAATAACCCCTAATCCAAATAGAATTTACAAGATGAAGATACTACTAAGTGATTAGATAGATGGATTAAATCCTAATATTAATCCAATCTAATTTACATCTAAATTTAGATATGAATAAAATAAATGAATATTCACAAAAATATTCATAACAAAAAAATATTTTTTATTAATATTTTAATATGTTTAAATATATTCAAAAGTTAAAATTAAAAATAATTTTTTATTAATATAATTGTATCTCAAGTTAAGTTGGGTCGAGCTTGGGCCTACAATATCATGCCCGAAGCTTGGCCTAGGCCTAGAGATGAGGAAAGAAAAAATAGACACCACTTTTTTTTAAAGAGAAAATAAACACCATTTAAAAAGCTTGCACTGGGTTTGATTTGAGTGCATATAAATGAAATATTTTCTTTTATTTTCTATTCATGTATGGATGTAAAAGTTGCTTTAACTATCTTCTTTTTAGTTAAGATATTTGTGAATGATACCTTTCTTTTTACCTTACAACTCTAAACAAAAAATCATAAAAAAGCATTAGGTGAATCTTGACTCCTCATTTCATTAAGACAAATTAAGAAATTGACAATCATAAATGTCAAATTATAAATTGGAATATAAATATTGAAATTCAAATTCAAATTTAAATTAAGTTTTCAAAGTATAAAAGTGTTTAGAGGTTAGGTCGAACTCAATTAGAGATTTCAGTGAGTACCTTGTAATTAGGTACCTTATATTACTTGACCTAATTAAGTAAGATTAATGTCATAATATATAAGTCCTGAAACTCAACCGTTTGACTTAAAAGAAGCTGTCATTAGTTTTTTTTTTTTGGGGTTTAGGTGTGATTAACCATCTAATTGAAATTATTTTTCCTAATGAAGTCTTAAGCTTAACTTAGATTCATTAAAAAAATAAGTTCTAATCTAAGAAACAGATTAGGTTTGGAAGTAAATATGTGTGAGGAAAGGATTAGAGCCCTACAATGCCCATTCAAAATGGTACGTAATTAATTATATGTTTTCTTTTTAACCTTTATAAATGAATTTTATTTTAATATCCTAGTTTATTTTCCATAGCTATTTCTCCAATGTATTATCATTTTAAAATAAATAAAAACCAACTTGTGAGAAATAGCTAACCTCATAAGCTCATTTCAAAAATAGCCTTGAATATAAAATTGTCCAGAATTGTGGGATTTTAAAATTCTACTTATTGTAGTGGGAAGCCTGCATTTCCCATAAGCAACGAAAGCCAAAGCAAGTAGACCTGTCAATATGGGCCGACTCGGCCCAACCCGGCCCTAGCCCTTGTGGGTTGAAAAAATATGGGCAGGGTCGGGCCAGCCCATATTTTATATGGGCTACAAAATGTTCAACCCAGCCCACCTCTTGTTAGCCCATGAGCTGGGCCGGGCTAGCCCATTTTTTTCAAAAAAAATTATTTATACTACTAATCAATACAAGTATACAACTATACTATGATTTAGTCCATAAATTAAATAATAAAAAACACTTATTTTTTAACAGATAAATAAATTACATCAAAAATAAATAAACAAATACATTACATCAAATATAAATAAAATTTCAAATTTTCAATATTTAGCCCACCCCTTGTTAGCCTATGGGTTGGGTTGGATCAGCCCATTTTTATTTTTTTCAAAAAAAAATTAATTTTTATAATTTTACTTGATAAATTTTTTATTAATAAAATTGTTCTATGATTTAATTCATAAATTGAGTAATAAAAACATGTTACAAATAAATAAATTACACCAAATATAAATAAATAAATAAATTACATAATAAAGTTTAAATCTTTAACACAAACTACTATCTTATAAACATAAGTATATAACCAAATAATAAAAATTTCAGGACTCATTTATATCCTCCTCAATCTTCATTCTCAAGTAAAACATTTAAATCTTATTTAGACAACAATGATGTCTCAAGGTCTGAATTATTATCAATTTATCATCTAATATTCATTACTATAAAAGAAAAAGAGATAATAAGTTTTAATTTAAATTAAAATTTTTAATTTGACAAGTGAAGATTAAAGACATTGAAATATATAAAATAAACAATACTATTGGTAACTAAATTATTGATTTTTCATAATTAAATATATAAAATTATTAAATTAATTAAAATTATTTTTTTGGCCCATGGGTTGGCCCTGCCCCAGCCCACATCAGCCCACTGATTTGGTGGGCTGGCCCATTTTAGGCCCTGTTCAAATATGGGTCAAAAATTTTCAACCCAACTCACCCCATATTTAATAAAAAATGGGCCGACCCTATAAGCTCGGCCCATTTTGACAGGTCTAAAAGCAAGCACTTGGGCAAGTGTTATATTAGCACGCCAAGATTTGCTCAAACTCTCTGCTATAAGTTAGGCTTAGCCTATTATCCTAGGGCGACTAGGTTAGTGTAAAATTACTGTCACATTTAATTTCTTTCTAATAAACAAATTTCTTTTACAGATTCTTTTAATTTATGACATCTTTAATTGGAAAAATTGGAATAGCTGTTTTTTTTATTTTTTACGAAATGGTTATTTTTAAAGAATAAGTATTTCGAGAGTGGTCAGAATAGTTATTCCGTTCACATTAAAATAACAAAAAAAATTATTAAACAAAAATACCCTTAACCAATTTAAAAAATTACTATCCTCTATAAGACAAAATCTACCTTTATTTTTCCCATTTCTCTTTCTTTCCCTACTCATCTACCTGTCTCTCTAAATTTTCTCCACCACTAGACGACTATGGAGAGCGATAACGACACTAACACCTCCACGACCAAATTTGATCACGAGAAGAATTGATCTAATGCCTAACGACCAGATCGAATTGTAGAGAATGCTTGATTGTTGCTTCATTGTGCCAACCACATCTCCAATTAATTGTTGGTTAGCTAAAAAGAAAGAATCAAAATGAAATTAAAATAAAATTTTAAAAATTTTAATTACGATTTAAAAAATAATATTTCAAATAAAAAATGATATTAAAGTTTTAATTATAAATTTATTTATTTTTTAATATTTTAAAAATAAAATAAAATAATCATATTAAAATTTTGATTGTAAATTACTAATATTTTATAGAAAATATAAGTTTTTAATATTTTAAAATTTTAAAATATAAAAGTGGAAAAAACAAAATAAAATAAAAATAAGTATTTGTATTAAATTTTAAATTTGTAATATTTGTAATAAATTGTCAAATATAAATAAATGTTCTAAATTGAAAATCATATATTATAGTAAAGGATATATTTATCTTTTTATCACCTATTCCTTTATTATACCAAAACTATTTTTGTTAATCAATTATGAGAAAGATGTCATCATGACAATTTCATTCTATTAATCAAATTACATAATAGTTATTTTTTTCTATTCCTATATAGTAACTATTCTATTTCTCTTTTAATCCATTCTGGGAACAAAACATGCCATTACTACCTTAAAGGGTAAATTTTTCTTTAAAAGCTTAAAAAATTCAATTTTCTTACTATTGAAAATTATCACATTAATTATTAATTATTACATTTACTATAAAATTAATATGTTTATAAGTAACATCTTAATAAATAAGTAGACTTAATAATTTTGAACACAACCTATTAATAGAATATGAAGTTAAGCAATTTCAGATTTGGGATATCGCGTTTCATATTTTAAATGTATCAACACATTTAAAGCACGATAACTTCATGTCTTAAACAAGTTAAACACATCTAACTAGCATATAGTATGTTTAACCCGTTTAATTAATCGTTTGATTGTGTCAATTTATATATTATGATCTGTTTAACCTATTTATATACTCATTTAAATAAGCTAATAGCCTTACTCATTTTTAAATGGGTTGTTGTATTATAGTTGTATTGTATCATGTAAAATTTAATTCAACTTGTTTAATAAACGTGTTAATCATATTGTATCGTATAACATGTGTAATAATATATATATTTGTGTATATGTTTAGAATCTTGATCTATTTAAATAATCGTGTCATATTTGCATTTATTTGTATAATTGTTAATACCCTATCTAAACATCATACGATTATAACATACCAACATGAATTCTTAAGTCTGTATAAAAGGGTCATTAGGGTAGTCGTTAACAAAAGTTTTAATATTTATGGTCATTTTTGTCTAGATTTTGAATGCACAATAGTCTATATTTAATGAATGAAAGAAAATAACGAACAAAATTTTGGTCATAATTAGGAATGGTTTTGTTTTGTTTTTATTATCATTCTTTAATGTAAAATAGTAATAATAATTTTGTTTCTGATAGATATGAGAATCCAAATATATAGCGAAGGTAAATTTTAAATGTTATAACAATTGTTAGGTCAAGCCGTAATTATTATAATTATGATGCGAGTAATTAAGCGTGCTTCACTCCACAGTATACGTAGACAATATATATTTTATGGCACTATATATTGTAAGGTAGCATGATATATCTAATGATTGGACTGCAACAAGATGCGTGTTAAGTTTTGTTTGTCTTACGATTGTGTTCAGGGAGGATCTAATCCAGATCCTTGCATGGTTAACTATGTGGGTCAAAAAGTGAACATAGCAAAATCTAAAATCCCCATAACGTAACTCTTGGTGCCCTGGTGGTACCTTGAGCACAATTTTCCCAAACCAAAAGCTGGGTTGCAAGAGAAAATTTTTAAATTTTCTTTCCACCAATTTAACTTAAGGATGTTGGATTGGATAATATATGATGAAAAGAACGATAGGATCATGATAATTATCCAACCCATAGTTGCCATTTTTCTCAGTATAATTAGAAGAAAATTCTACTTATTCAAACAATTTTCAACTGTGGTTCCTCTACTCCCACTCCTCTCTAATTTGCTTTTCACTGACAAAACTAGAGAAGAAAATTGACAGGATGCTGGGAGCTGGGGAGTGTTTGCTAATAAAGAAGTAAAAGAAATGGGGGGATAAAGTAAACAAAATTCATCTACACATTTGAGGGTGGTGAGCATTAGGTGTAAACTCACAATCCGGTGAGTAACAACCAATGATTTCTTTGTCAACAATGAAGCCAGAGTCATGCAAGAAGATGGCATCGTTTCTGTGTTGAACCATCTCCAAGATCTTCTCAAACGTGGAAACTTCACATGGGATCTTCAACACTCCTTCCTGTTGAAACCCAAACTCCTCCTCCGCTTGTCTTAGCAGAACCCCAAATGCCTGATGACCCAAGTACGCAGTGGGGATGACAAATCGCTTCAGCTCTTTTCCCACGCACACAGCCAGGAACCCTTTTGGAACTGCATCAGCTGACGCTGCTGAAACATCTGTGAAAGATAGTGCTCTCTTCAGGAACCTGATGCTTTTACTGCTGCCACTGGTTGTCTGCTGGGAAGAGCTGTTGCCGCTGATGTTCTTGGGTGCATTTGCTAGCTTTTTCCACTTCTTGAGGATCTGTTGAAGCCTAACGATCTCCCTAATCTTGTTAGACATTTTGGAATCCATCAAGTTTTGCTGCAAATATCAAAGGCTTATAGCTACTAGTATTATTTTAGTTTCTTCCCTTGTGTGAATGATCTGCAATGGAAGGTGAAGTTGAGATATAAAGGAGCTGGACTAGAGGTGCTTGGCAACACTGAATTTTATAATTTTTTTAATTCATAATATAATTATTAATTAATTGCATAAAAATATTCATTATATATATATATATATATATATTCATATTAGTAGTATCACAGTACTTGCTGTGAAGTTAGGGTATACGTCCGTTAATGGTGCAACTGCCTGAACAATGAAAACCCCATCAAGGTTTTTGGTTTGTTTAATCCAAGAAGAGAAGTTTTCCTGACTTTTCAGCTCTGTCTATGCATATATATCACCTAAAATACCATTTTTTTCCTTTTACAAATAACACACCTGAGAAATAAAAAATTAGACTTACAGGCTGAAACTTTAAAATTTTAGCTCTTAACATAATTATTTATTATTTAATGTTTTAAAAACTTTTAAATTATTTTAAAAAATTTAAATAAACTTTTATTCTTTTATTATATTTTTATTTTATACAAAATAAACCCTCGTAACTAAAAGATGATTAATTGTTATTAGTCAAAATTTTATTAATTTTTTATACATGTATTGATGTGATGTTAACGTAGAAAGTAAAAATAACAAATGCTTATCTTATCATGTTACGTCACCATTATTATAACAAGTCAATTTATCATGTCAAAATGACCAGTAATAGTTTGATTAATAATAATTAATTAATTATTAATCACAAAAGTATATTTATCTTAAAATCAAAATGTAAAAACTTGATTGAAGATAATAAAAAAATTAAAAATTTATTTAAATTTTTCTGACTCCTTAAAGATTTTTTTAAAGTATCAACTACAAACTCACGAACTTACTTCTTGTCCCAAGTAAACCCATTCCCTTTGTTTTGCTCTTAATTCTGGACATTTCCAGATCTCTCAAAATTTTTTGAGTCTTTTAAGAGTTTCAATCTTTGTTTTCCTTTTGTCTCTCTTCTCTCCAAAAAGGGGAATTAACAAAGGTTTTGTTTTGCAAGCAAATAAAAAAGTTGCCACATGCAACAAAGGTGTTATTTAGTGCAATTGGATTCCGATGCAACTGCTCTCAACAATCAAAACCATAAAGGTGTCTGGCACTACTCTCCCAAATTATTAACTTCCTTAATTGTGTCTTGGTATCTGTACCTATGTGCCTATTTAATATTATTTACTGATTTTTCAGGCTTATTTAAATCTCTTTTTCGGATTTTGGGTTTTGCTTAGAAGATGGTGGGAGATGGCAGTCAAGAAATTCCATGTGTTGATCCCACCCAAGCATATAAACAAATTAAGCAACTTGACAACAATTGTTTAATACATATATTATACAACATTAAACCACTTTTTCCTAATTAAAGAAATTATTGACTCACTAAACTTAACATGGAATGCTCAGTTGTGATGCGTTGTGTGTTGTCTTGACTTTTCTACGGATATCAAACACTATCTATTTTACAACAGGTCAGATTAATGGGTTAAGGATTGCTAAAACAGTTTATATTTAATGCATTAATTTTATCAAATTCAAAAGGAGGTAAGGCATTTATTATAATTTTTGTTCTTAAATATCAGTTTGATCAGTACCACTAAGCATTAGTTAACATCTCCCTCTTTTAATTAATAAAAGTTTATGCAAATTAAATAATTTAAGCTTTAGCTTTGGATTCTAATTGAACATGGGTATCAGTAAATGATTACTTTTCATTGCATAATAGTTTCCAAAATTTGACCTTGAGTTTGAATGCAGTTTGAAGAATGAGAGAATTACTCGTCATTACATAACATCAGCTATAGATAAAATTTTAAATTTATCATGAAAAACTAAAAAGAAGAGGTAAAATCTCACCACATATTCTAATTTTCATTGATTAGTGTATAATCTTTCTTTCAAAAAAATAACATTCGAATCATCTTTTTCCTAATTATAAAAAAGAAAAAAATGGTCAACTTAGTGGGATGAATAACATTTTCTTGTGCTCATGAATTCTATTTATGTTTCAAACAAATAGAGGAGTGTGAGTAGCAAATGCTCTGCTTAATTGTGCTAATAAAGTAAAACACATGAGAATAAATTATAAACATAAATAAAACTTTGACAAAAATGAAAGGAAAAAAAGATAAACGAATTAATAGAGATAAGAAAAAGTTGGAAGACGTAATTATTAGTAAAACAAAAAATGTGGATCACTTGCCCAATATGTATCAAACAAAGATGTAATTAGTGGTAGCCAATTATTTGGTCAAAGGTCAAAGAAGATGGACATGTCGTACGCTTAAATTTATATGTAGTGTGAGTTTAAGTGAAGATTAATTTATTAATATGGGTTTATATTATTATTAGCCATGAGGCCTAATTTGCTCTCCCCATATTGGGAAAGGTGTTAATTATTAAATATTATGCATAAACTATATAGGCTATGATCAAGGACATTAACTATATAAAAGAAACTCTTTTTCTCTCTCTAATTTGAAATTAAAATATGAAGCACTGTAACGGAGTTAGGATTTCATGTTTAGTAATAAAGATAATATTTTTAAAACAATTATATTAAAAATTTAAATATTTATAAAAATAAAAAATATAAAAATATATTATAAACATTTAAAATTTTTAAGAGAACAGACCGCTACTAGACCTTTTCCCTCCGCCACTAATGGAGAACAATATACTATTTTGAAGCATTATATTATTTATATTATACAGTAATTAATATTGTTGACTATATATATAGTTATGAAAAGAAAAAAAATCGACAACTTGTTGGAGTAAAAACAGTTAGGTTTGAATTTAAATTAAAGCCTATAGATAAATTAAATAAGTGCTAACCATTGCTAGCGATAAGGAAATCCCCATAAGCTATTGTTCTAAAGCATATACTATTGGAATTGGGGACACCCACTACATGGGAGAAAGAGAAAAAAGATAAGATAATATTGTTTTAAAAAGAAAAAAAAATTATACTTTGAGAGAGAATAAGTTATGGAAAACGAGAAAGTGACTAGTTTTTATCATTTACAGTAATATTGAAAATTTTGAACTCCATGCATTAAAGGATTTATATAAGTGATAACTGTACATATTTTTGTTCAAAAAATTAGGTTTCAATCTTCTTTCCTTAAATAGAAAAAAATTTTAAATTTCATAATAAATAATTTATACACATATTTATTTAATGTTAAATATAACTATGTTTATAAGATTATAAAAATTTGACCTTATGAACAAAGCGGATAGAAAGATCATCTTTCAGTTTTATATTATAAATTAAGTTTGGTCCAAATCAAATTATTGATTCCATACATGATTTTATATGATTACTTTTTAATTTCACTTTCATGTAAAATTTTGATTACTGTTCATGAACTATCATAATGACAAGTTCCTTAAAAATGGAGAGAATAACAGCAAGAACAAATTTTGACTCCAAATATCGAGGGAAATATGAAGATTTCCATGAAATTCAAAGAAGGCGTCCATCAATAATTGCTGTGGGTTGTACGTAATTGATAGATAGAAATAAATGGGGCAGAGGAAGTGCATCTCAGGAGAAAGATGGGGACTGTGGTTTTGTCTGTCAGCTTCGTTTTCAATATTTCTTTGCCGCCAAAGGCAGAGAGACCCAGAAGCAGGTGAAATGAATGGAGTCCATCGCTTAGCTTCGTACAAATCAAGGTTCATATTCATCAACTGATATATATAGCAGCAAATAATGAGTTGAAATCATTGCTGTCTGCACTCTGCAGATTATCCCTCCAATCATTCACGGCCACCTTCCTCATAATTTTGTTTCTCTATGTGCATTCCATCCACTTACCTGTTCAGATAAGCAACTGATTCCCCCATCATGGATCATCATTAAATTATTTTTGCCTTTTAATTTATTAATTCTTAGTACATGCATACGAAGAGACTATAAATAACCAATCCATAAATTTACGAAATATCTTAAAGAATTCAATCTGAATATTTGATATTCGAAATTTGAAAATAATGCTCGATTTATAAGAAAAGACGTTTGAATTCAATATTTTTTTTTTATTTTATAGGAAAATTCCGCTGAATGATATATTGTGTCCAATGACTGATCATGTGAGGTAAAACAACATGCATAATTTAGGTTAAAATACATAAGCACATATAGATGGAGAACTTTCCTTTGGAAGATGGATGTTTGAATAAGGATGGGCAATCTCGCGCTTTCCAAGAGGAAAAAAGAATTACATAAATTCACAAGGCAGACAATATATATGACAAATTGCACTTACGTAAATGTACAGCAAGTGAATTTATTTTATTTTTTGGATGTTAATTATATTGGCAGGGCACATGATTATGCAAGTGAACATGAGTTTCCTTGAACAGTAAGATTACTAGTAATGTTTTTCAAGGTTGAATTACTGGTGTTCTTGTGGGTATGCATCTGGTATTGAAGCCGTTGTTAGCTCATCTTGCTGCTTCGGCGTTGTCCCTTTGCTACTCTTTTTATCTTTTTATTTGTGGAACTTATGATCATACTCTTTCTTTTGGGTCCATGTGGGTTTGTTCCATCTACGGATGCATTTACAAGTCATGTAACTTTACCCTCTTTTTTCTTTGATAGCATGCATGGAGAATTTTATTTAATATGTTTCGGTAAAAACAAGTAAAATCCATTTATATTCCATATAATATTTTTCAAAAAGACATTAGAGTTACAAATAGTAATGGTTAGCACAACACGAAAATAAAACTTAATATGTACAAAAACAAGAGATAAGTATAGAAGATAGACATATATAAATATGCACCAAAGATGACATTTAAATTTAAAGATGAGATAAGTTTTACCAAACATAGAATTCGGATAATTGTCTTATTTGTAATTATTTGCATTTCAAGCTTATTTTATTATTTAATATTGGGTAAATTATCTCTATCCTGTTAGG